AGCAGGAATCTTGTCTTGGAGTAACACTATTTCCAGGAAAAAGGATCCAGAACCGAAAGGATAATGAAGACTAAGGAATTCACAGGTGTTGTGCTGCATGAGCACTGTAGAGCTCAGCTGGGTCGGACCTGACCAGCTGCACTGGTGCACAGCCAGAATGGGTAGGGATTGTGCTCCCAAATAAAATTAGAGTATAAATCATAGAAATTGACAGGGCAGAAAATGGAACTGCTAAACATTTTTAGTCCAAAATGTGACACTTTGCAGACTGTCACACTCTCAGTGTATCACTCCTGGCCCCACACACCTCACAACCACACTGTGGTGTGTTACTCTCACTCCAAGGGATGAAAAAATTCAAACCAATTCTTTTTCAAGGGGTGAAAAAATGCCAAATTTACCAAATACATAACAAATATATCGCCCTCACTGCAGGAGGTAAGAAAACACAAGGTGAGGGCTGTGATGTGACACCTCCAAGGCTCTCCCAGTACCCAGCCAAGCCTTGCCTGAGAGGAGGCTCCGTGCCAGCTCCAACTCTTCAGAGGGGATGTCCCCAACCTGCTCACAGAGCCCACAGAGGCTCCTGCACAGCCACTCCACTGCTGCAGGGACTGTTGGGCACCTGGAATGAACAAAAGCACCTTCAGTTCAATCCCTCCTGCTCTCTGTGAGGCTTGGCTGTCCCCACCTCCATCCTCTGTGCTCAGGGGAAGAGCCAGCTGTGCCCTCTGCCCCAACTGTGCCATGGGATTGATTTCATTTGGCCCAGCACACTGGCTTTACAAACAGTTTGATTCCATTATTATTTGCTTGATAAAAAGATTCCACAACACGCATCCAAAGGAAAAAACACGTATGGAGTTGTGTATCCAAGTATTTCCTCATCTCTGACATGAAAGTGTTGCCACTGAGAAAGCTCTGCTAGCAGAACTTTTGTGCCATTTTCTAAGATCTTTGGATAAAAAATGCTTTAAAAAATGCTTGACTTCCCTTAAATGTGAAGCACAGTGGGCACTGGAGGTTTTCATCATGAACAGACAAGTAAACCAATATCAAAGGCCTAAAGGATCATTGGAATGTTCATTTGGCACCACAAGGAAAACCTGATCTTCACAAAGGATAACTGGGTGAGCCTTTAGCTCTGTATCATAGAATCATGGAATGGTTTGGGTGGGAAGGGACCACAGAGATCACCCAGTTCCACCACCTGCCACAGGCAGGGACACCCCCCACCAGCCCAGGCTGCTCCAAGCACCATCCTTGGAACACTTATTAGGGAGAAAAATAGAATGATTAGACTAACTGTTCTCCAGAGATTAACTCTTCCAGACCACAAAGTGTAAGGATTTGTGAAGATGGCAGCCCCAGTTCCTGCAGAGCAAGACTTCTTGCCAAGTCCAGCAGCTGCTTTGGTGGCCACCACTTAGCCACCACACCCAAACTGGGCTAATTACCCTGGAGTAACCTCCCAAACCCACAGCAGCTCCTTAATCCTGCTAATCCCATCCCTTGCCAGCACCTGACTATATCCTCAGTCCAGAATACTCATGACTAATCCCTGATTATATTTCAATAGGCTTTGAGAGATTAAATACATCTAGAAACCTCCACTCACCTCTCCAGCAGCTCTGCCAGCCCAGCAATGTCCCCTCTGTGCAGGTGCCACACAGCTTCCAGCACTGGAGGCTCCTAAGGAGATGACACCATTAGGTCACAGGTTGCACTTAGCATTTGGCTATTGTAAATGATACGTATATAAAATAAAGCTAAATTCTGGTTATTCAAACTATGCAGAAGTTGTTAAAATTCAAACCTAACAACACAGGAAATAGTGAGGAAAGAAGATGTTGAATTTTTCCTTCCAACAAGTTTGGGATGGTTTGGGGTTGTGGATGCATCATCAGGTTAAATTTGCATGGATAAGTAATGAATATAATCCATCTTTCCCCGCTGGAATGATGCTGAGTCTGCAGACTCAAAGGAGCAGGGGATATCCCAGGAAAGAGGTAACACCACTGAGTTCCAGGTTGTGTTAATTCAGATCCAAAACCAGCTTAGAGAATCATCCTTTAGTTCATTAACTGATTATTAGACTCTGTGGAATGAGTTTGCCACTCTCAAATCTATATCCCAATATAGACTGAGATTGTAGGAGACCACAGGAGAGGACACGGCCAACCATCCAGGCAGAGAGGCTGATGGACAGAGGGAAAATGAACAACCTCTGGCAAAAACCTGCCCCAGACATTACCCCTGTGCAGATCAAACTGCCTCCCTGCAGCAGGAAAG